TGAAAGTTTGGGAGAACTCAAAAAAGCTGTGGAAACAATTGCCTGCGGCTCGTGTTCCCACAGCATTTCTCGTTTTCCCAAACTTCCACTCGTGTTTCTATAACTCGATAGAAACACAGTGCATGTTTTCTATTTCTTAATTGGTACATGAAAGTTATTGTTTTGGTTCTACGACACTCAGTTGAAAATTGCTCTAACCTGCAATCAATAACATTTTTAAAAGGTTTCATGTTTTCGCTTTTCACTAAATTAAATCTGTATATGTACATGTATCTTATAAACAGCTGGTGAAAGGAAAAGACCTAGTTTTCTACAACAAGTGTCTCACTGAATTTGTTTCACTCTTGGAGGGTAAGTTTACACGTGTATAGTAGAGTATACATTGAACAGTTTTTAAATAAATTAAAATTTTTTTTTCAGATCCCACAAAATGTACAGTATGGAGGAGTTTCATACTATTTCATTTCATTAATTTTTGTAGCTTGGTACCATAACATGCACGTGTAAAACAACAATCTTTTCTGATTGCTAAGCTCCTTGCAGAAATATTAGACTTGCTACAAGCCGACCCTTGTTAATCAAGGATGACTTTTTAAATTACAGTAAGTCTAGGCAGAAATATCTGAATCAAATTAATGCTGTCTATTTTTACCAGCAGTATAGTACAGAAATGTAATCAATGTGGATGTCGAAGTTCAATTTTACCCTTGGTACAATCTGGCATTTTCCCTTTTTCGGTGCATGGTAATATACTTTATGATAATAAATATAAAACAATGGAAAATACATGTACCAAGGGCATTGAATTGAACCACTACTGTACACTGTACTGGTACTAGCCCTTTTCATTGTTAACTTCACTTATAACATTGTACAATAAATTATAATCCAGCATGTATGTGTGACAATTTTTCTTCCCTCTGCCTTGCGATGAGGGTTTTCCCTCTAATAAATGTTTACATAATTTTAATACAGTGAACTATTTTTATTTTTTCAGATCTACTAACTATAGATGAAAAGCTATTTTCTTCCAACTGTCCTCCTTTGGAGGCCTTGCCTCTCTACCTTAGCCATTTTCAGTTCACAGAGAGTAGTGACGATAAGGTAAAGTTATCATTAGATTATAGCATGGTAAAGTTTGCATAGGTCAGCACTTCTCTCTGGTTTTTGTAGCATGAAGCGACTAGGAGTATCTCTAGACTCTCCCCATGATTACCCCCAGTGTCAAATATCCCGGTACCCATGTATACAACTGGGTGGAGAGGCACTGTGAGAGTAAAGTGTCTTGCCTAAGAACACTACACCATGTCCCCGGCACAACTCAAACTTTGGAGACAAGTGCACTAATCATGAGGCTGGCCATGCATCCTCAGATTATGGCATACTGTAATGTGAACATGTAAATTTCTTGTAAGTTTGAAACTGAAGAGTGGTTGCAAATTTCCAGTGGAGTGTCAGGCCTTGGAGGTATGGGGAACAGGAAGTCTGCAATATGTTGTTGAGTCCTTTTAAAATTAAATTAAAATTAAAGTTAAAATTGTACTGTGGGATGCATAAAACCTTCTAATATATTAGAGGTTGATTAAAAGAGGGGAGGGTTTAGCCTGGATTCCTAAGGTGGTGGGAGCCAATCAGCAGATATACATTGTATGTGCAGAATAAAATTCTGTAATATTACCTAATTAATGCACATTTTGCGCAAGTGTCTTGAGTCAAGAAGGAAGAGACATGAACTTGAAGCGCTATTAAGGCAGGTAGTGAGTGCAATCTCTCCTGTCCCCTTACAAACTAAATGGCTGTACGTGTACATGTACATGCACATGTAAAGTGGGGTTTCATTTCTGCTAATCTTGCGACTGAGGTGTCTGTTTGCTGTATATGTTTCAGGAGGAGCTGAACATGGTGAAGAAATTCATGTGTGTAAAGCATGCAGAAGATTGCTATGCTTTACAAGAAGCAGTAAGGTTTGTTGCATTCTTTGATATGTACAGCTGTTTAGTTATAGCGGTAGCTAACTTTGGAAATTACTGCTTTTGAGAAACAAGTTTACAACAACCATCGGATCATTGTGTACTAAAGGTGTCCATGATCAAGTGTCCATCGATACTCTCGATCTATATCCTCGATCGACATCTCAATCAATACTCAATCTACATGTACATCCCGATCGATACTCGGTCGCTACTCTATTGACACTTGATCAACAGTCAGTTGATAGTCGGTTAAATATTGACCAACTGATATGAATTGATTGAAAATTAGCTGACTCTCGACCGACTGTCGACCAAGATGTCGATGGAGTGTCAACTGAGGTTTCAATGGAGTGTCGATTGAGTATTACTGATCAAGGATATCGATTGAGGGTATCGATCAACACTCCACCACCGATGCCTTTAGTACACATGATCCGAATCATTTAGCTCTTCGTGTTGTCAATTAAAGAATACACATTCAGCTTTTACATTGAATGTAGTTATACAACCATGGATGCCCCTTGCCATGTGCAGAGAGGGGACAGGGTTTTAAAAGAGGTTTTGTTGGGGTTGATTATATTACGTTAGGCTCACCTCAGTTGTCTATCATTTTACAACTGACCTCTGTCTATTTAGGTATCAATATCGTATATGACAGTATTCTAAATTTTTAAGTGTATCCGAAACATTATTAATACATTAGTACGGAACAGTATTAATATTATGAAGACATTGATGATCATCGCAGTTATATACACATAATCATATGATCCTCCATATAATTATTGATTTGCAGTATAAAATAATGATTATTGTCTAGATGAATATTGCACACATTATTGCCTGCCTACAAGTAGTTCAAAAAAAGTCTGCATACGAACCAAGTGGCCCATCAGGCCAGTGCTTATCTTCAGTTTCTGTAGCATGAAGCGACTCAGAGTATTTCTACTGCCCCCTGGATGGGATGCCAGTCAATTGCAGGGTTACTGCCAGCATTAAATTCACTGGTACAGTTACACACCTGGGTGAAGAGAGGCACTGTGAGAGGAAAGTGTCTTGCCCAAGAACACAAGAAAATGTCCCAAGCCAGTGCTCGAACCCAGACCACTAGATCCAGAGGCAAGCACACTAACCATGAGGCCATCATGTCTCCATGCCTACCTACATGTAGTTATAATAAAATAATTTATTGTTGTTTTTTACTTTGCAGTAAAATCATTGGCCATGTGATTAGTGATGTTTACCAGTTTGCGCAGAGCAGTGTGACAAGTTTATGGACAATCTCTTGCCAACTTCTTCAGACTGGTCTCTTGCGTATTAAACAGGTCTGTTTCTGAGAGGCTAAGTATGTGACAGCAGTAAAAAATGAGTACTTAAAGGACCCTGGTCATCCTCCACCATTTTCGATGCCATTGAAATTATTGATAATTATTGCATGGTGAGACGAAATCTTATTGCTTTACTGTAAGTTGTGTTCCTGAAAGTGTATGTTTGATTATCTTTTAGTATTTTCACAATGATTTCCTTCATTTAGACATGCTCCAAATAGAATTATTTTAATAGCCAAACTCTCGCATGTAAACAAAAACAAGTGTGTGGGTGACTAAGGCTCTTTAACATATTAAATTTACCCACTGTAGAAAGCCAGAGTTTTTAAATGAAAAATAGTGTGAAGCAAAACTGGAATTTCCAGAGGGATGGGAGAGGGGACAAATAATAATAAACTGTGGGAGGGGTATAGATATTTTCTAAAATGACACAAATATTGCTTTCACGAAGTCTCTGCTACACATGTAAGAGGAACACCAGTGACACTCCGAGATCTTTAAAGATGATTTCCAGTCCGTATTGCACACTCTTGTGAGTTTGGTTAAGCTTATTGTTTTGTGAACATGTAAGACATCACAAAATGTAAAAATTTTGCAACTACTTACATGAAGTAAATTCAAAGTTTCATGTCGACCTCCATTATGAATGCAAAGCTTTATGCTTCGTTCTTTCTCATATCACTTGATGAAACAACTTCGCAGCTGTAAAAATCAATGAAGCTGTTGGAAAAAAAATTTGAAAGGCCTCAAAGATAAGGTATGTTTCATAACAAATAACATTGATTTGCATTTCATCACGTGAGACTTACTGTATGTAATGTCTATAAACATTAGGATGCTGGGACTGCGCAGTATGGACTGGAAATCATCTTTAAATTAAATCTTGTTCAGCTTTAAGCATTTTCTCCTTGGCTTAAAATTAATTTGCATTTGCCTACATTCAAGTTGTTTTGTTAGTCCAAAAATTGCTTTTAATCAGTTCACATAGTTGACATGAGTTTCAAATTTCACCCGAAAAAGTCACGTACATGTACGTCAGTCTTGCACCAAGCCATTCAATTATAGTCTTGAATGAACTCACCCTGTACTGCTTTTGTTATGCAGGAAGCACTGGATATATTAACTGGCTTGTTACCTTGGAGTGGACTGCCTAGTGTGCCTGTCCTGGACAAGTTTGTCAAATGTCTTTGTTCTTTGTTGGAGTTATTGGTGTCTGGAGTTGCTGGTAAAATACCAGTTAATGGAAGGTAAATAATTGTAATATCTATACATGTATCTTGTCTAGGAGTATTAAGAACTACTCACCCTCTACTCTCAGCATGAAGTTAATTCGTACCCATTTACACAAATGGGTGTGGAGAGACACTGTGAGAATAATTAAAAGTGTCTTGCCCAAACAAGGACATGATGCAATGATTTCATGTACAAATTTTATCCTAATTTTTGGATCAAGTCTACTTTAAGCTACTTTTAAAATATTTTTTGCATAAATTCACAAATATGATGTGTCTTTTAGTTGCTTTACAAGCATATGAAGCAACTAAAAGACACATACATGTAAAGTGATATTCTTCTGGTTGCTTTTCACTACACCCTCTACGATAGATTACTGTACATGTGTCCAATTTGTTTTTATGCCACTCCTCATATACCCAGTTGGAGATGCCCTGTCTGGCAGGGCATCAAGCTATTCTCTGGCACTAGTAGATTCCGTCAGTAGCAGGTTTCTGTTTCTGGGTGGAGTTGCTTGCCACACCCAGCATACAATTTGGTGGGTCAGGGTGTTGTCTCCCTCGATGTCTCTTCCACAATCCAGTCCAGCATGGTTAAAATTGATGTTGCATTCTCTCTATGACTTAACCCACATACAACAAAAACGAAATACATCAATTCTGTTTTAATTTTTTTTCTTTCTGCAGAGAAAAGGTCACTGCTCTGGAGGTCAGTATTGCAAAGTGTTTAGAAGTCCTTTCCACACGCCTCTCGCCTGGAAAAAGCGATCATCCTCAACAGCCAGGTTCAACATCAGAAGGAGTCCTGTATGTCTTTCCTGCATGGCACGTCAATCACTTCTTGTTGAAGTTTAGGACTGCTCTTCATCGGGGTGGCCTACACAAATTTCTTACGAAAGAACTGAAGGTACTGCATGTGGCTTCACTATTACGGTAATACATGTACTATTGTAGTAATAGTACAGTAATTGGACTGTGTGGAGTACAATTCAGGGAGTAATCGATTTCAAATTTGGATGAGCATGCAGCGTGAGGCTGATTTGAAATTATGAGCATCGTTACTCCGTAAATTGTGCAACACAAGGTTTAATTACTTATTAATTATATCAATAATAAATTTTGAAATTAAAAAAGTCTTGTTTTGAGTAAAACCTAGCAAATTGCAGGGGAGTGACCTGCAATGGACTAGCATCCTGTCCAGGGGGAGTAGAAATATTCCTAGCCACTTGATGCTACAGAAACCGGGATAAGCTCTGGCAGCTATGAGCCAGTTGGCTCCAAGTCTTCACTTTCCTTCATTTCTCTTTTGAGTGTAAAAGCCTCTAGCACTTTCCATAAGTTTTAGAAACTGTAGGAAACATTAAAGGAAGCTACATAATATTGAAGCGTTTGTAATTGGCATGCAAATGGCATAGGTATTCAATTGCAAAAATTTGAAATGGATACCTGAGGATACCCAGGCGTGTTATCGCGTGTCGATTATGTGACAAATAGATGTAGGCATGTGGAGAACCAATCAGGATCGGGAATTTTGTTAAAGGTACAATTATTAATGATGCAAAAGGACGATTTTCCCTTTTCTACACACAACTCAGCAGCTAGTCCTGTAGCTGACCTGCTCCCAGTTGATTCATAGCTCAGTCAGTAATGAATTTTGAATGGTCAGTTGCTTGTTAAAGCATTTATTAACAAGAAATATAAGGAGTAACATAATTCGATGTTTTGATGTGTCCAACATTATTATCAAGAATAAATATCGTTGAATTTCAAAGTTGTTAAACGAGTTGAGTTATGAATATCATTAGGTGGCATTCCTGTGTGCGTTGCTTGCTGTTTGTCTGCCCTGTTGCTTGCTGTTTGGCATCCATTTGTCATTCATTTAAGATTGATAGGATGTCAATCAAATGCCTGGGATAATCCATTATTCAACCATTCAAATGACTGCTGCTGGCAGCCAAAAGTACAACTTCACAGCTTTGTGTGTTATTGAAAGGCAAAAGTAATTTTAAATACATACACATAGACAAGTAACATTAATTTAGTAGGTTATTTTCACATTCAAATTAAATGAAACGTGCTTCATTCTGTCACTATTAATCAGAGGTGATTTCAAATTAAGCTGTTCAATTTATGACTGAAATTTCAACACACTTTGTACAGCTGTAAAGGCATAATTTGCCAAAATCTTATACAGCTTGTTCAAATACACAACTTTATTGGCTACATGTATGTACACAGAACGGTCTCTACATGTATATCTATTTTTTTCTAATTCTGATTTTTTTATTTTTAGAGAGCTGTCTGCCAGTTTGTTGCCCATATATACAGGAATGTACCAATCAACACAGGACGCACAGTTCTTTTATCACAATATCGTGTTAGAGACGAGATAAATGAATGGCTGGTTGGTTACACTGGTTACGAACCACAGCAACAGGTAATTGGCTTGGTTGTGACGGGAATGCACTCAATTGAGGGGTTTGCTGTTAAAAATGGAAGCCCCTGGGTTACTATAGCATCTAATAAGCTCATGAGACTGTCAAAGTACATGTTACAATGGACAAATTTTTTAATCCCAGGGTTGTCCACTTATGCAGGGCTGGTCTTCTTATATGTGTTTGTGTATGTATGTACTTTTTATGTACATGTATACATGTATGTCTGATTGGTGCTTTACAGAGTGGTGCACACTCTGCTTTTTTGTTTGGATAAAATAAGTCGACTCTCGACTGACTGTTGATTGAGATGTCGATGGAGTGTTGATTGAGTGTCAACCGAGGTGTTGATGGAGTGTTTGAGTATCGATCAAGGGTTGATTGAGGGTATCGATTTAGGGTATCGATCACACTCAACCGTGGATACCTTTTGTACACATGATCCTTTTGTTTAATAGTCGTCTTATTGGGTAGCAAACTCTGTTTTATGTCTGAGTGCTGAGTACTGCACACTTTGATGTTGTTTTTAATACAGTGGTCTGGTTGCTGATTGCAGCAGACTCTCCATTTTTAAACTTTTCAGGGCAGACCCGATTGCCTATAAACTTTGTGTAAAATTGGTGTAAAATGTACCTGTATACACATTTTCATATGTGTAATGCTTTGTTACATGTGAACTGTACTAGTACTGCTACAGTAGTAGTATGATTTGGAACAAAATTTTCACTTTGTACCTNTTGGAGATTGTGGCATTGACATGAAAAATGTTCATGGATCTCAATGTTCCTCTTCAGGTTAACTAAAATCTCCAAAGTGAATAATACAGTGTATAAGGAATATTCTATCATTTAATAGAAATCTTCATCATCATAAACATTTTGGAAACAATAAGACAATAATTGATAATTATGTGCCTCAAACATAGTGGCTGCCAATTAACAACTCCAGGGCTTATGTTCCTAAGGCTAAATGTATAGCAGGAAAACAAAGAATCGATCTTACAGCATTATTTATTGATATTAATTCAAATATCAAATTATTGTTATACATCATAAATAGAAAGGAAAACACTCCAAAGAAAAGAAAAATGCTCACCTTGCAGCCATCAGAACAAGACAAAGAGGAAAGAAAAACTGCATTTTCAGCAACAATGACTAGATTGCTCGAGAGGTTCAAGGCCCTTGATGCATCTGTAATTGATAAAGCAAGTGAAACAAAGCCAAATTTGGTGAGTCTTTAGTCAGTCGTTTGTGTTTTCCATTAAGTTGAGGGGAACTTTTGGAGTGCAAGGTTAAATTAGGATTAGTTTATGGGGAGTACTTTTACTGTTTTGGTCAAAATTGCTGTTCTGTAGTGTTGACACTCAATTTAGTTTGCTTAAAAAACAACAACAACCAAAAAAACAAAAACAAAAAAACAGGATTGTGTTCAAGGACATTCACGCGAAAATGTTTTACTCGATAGATTTTCTTCAAACTTCTACTGCTGATTGATAATGAATTACTTGTTTCAGAAATGAACAACAACAACAAAAAAATTGGGGGTCACGGACTTTGTTTCAGAGATAAAGCATGTGGAAAAGTAGCCTGATTTTGAAAAATTAGTGCGTGTAAATCAGGATGGTCTCCAGAGTTTTGAGCTTAAAATAATAATATTATTATCTAAGGTGAATCAACGGAGACAAACTATCCTACAGAAGTAATATTTTGTAGAAGTGAATCTGTTGCGTTAATAATTCAAAATGTTACATGTACCAACGTTTTTACAAACTTAACTCTTCAAGAGGTATTTGAAACGGCCGCACAGAGAAACGAAGAGCCAAAAAGAACAGAATTCGATGGTGCATTTTGCAAAAAATTCAATTTGCTAATCAATAGATTTTCTTAATTTTTTCGCTAAACGTAGAATATCGGTAGATGAAATGATCCATCAAAAGAAAAATAGGGGTCACCGAATGTCCAAGATTGCTGAATCCAGGCAAAGCTATAGCAATGGCCATCTGCTTTATCATTGTTCATTTCATTACTTAGCGCACGCTCGATGCATGATGTGGTGTATGAATTTGCATGTGCAGTAAGGATGCGCAGAAACAATTAGCGCAAACGTCCTTAAACCTACATTTACATGTAATTTTATAATGAATTTCAGGCTAGCTGACCAGTTCAGAGATCAACAGAAAGATGCCAAAAATTTAAAAACTAAAAATTGATCTCAATGAGTAACAGTGGTACAGTACAATTTGCGGCAAACTCGTCATTGAGAATGATGTGAAAATTGAATTACATTTTGTTGTCTAGATGTGAACTGTAGGGTTGCAAAAAAATTATAAGGATATACATGTATGTCCAACCAAATTGCTATTGAGTTTGATTTAATTTTGTTAATGACAGTGCAAACATAGTTTGTATCAATTCTTTTCTCAATTTCACGTCTGAGATTCTTAGCCCGATGTAATACAAAATCAGCACCTAAACTTGTCCAGAGGGATTACACATTAAAATGTAAAGACGTAGGCAAATTTTGATCAGCCATTTACTCTTCTGATAATCCCCTTTCATTTGGAGCTCATGTGTAATATATTTACAGTGTATAGTATTTTTCATGTCAGGATGAATTTGCTTGTGAACTGGAAGGCATAAGAGTGATTACAGAACTCATGGTTCACCTTTGTAGTCATCAGATGAAAACATCAAGCGCTGAGAACCCAAGTGAAGTTAAAGGTAATCAAGACATGCACAATACTCACAAGGAGAGAATATAAAGTTGTACATTAATTTCTAATTAATTTAATTAATTGGTGTTGGTTTTATTTCAGAATTTTTCACAAACTTGGGTCTGTCCCACCTCTTCTCTGTACTCAAATCATCTCTCCAGGTCTTGGTTCAAATTGCTGAGCAGTCTTCACGAACAACCGACACACTCACTGCCCTCGATTCATCCTTCCAAAAACTTGTTCACACTTCAGGAGCACTCTATTGCATGTCAGATTTCATTCATCTGCCACTAGATCTATGCCAGTTTTTGATATTTTTGGTGTCCATTCCTTGGTTGGCGAGATGTGATCCTCCCTGGATTGATCTACCTCATGGGTTTGGTCTGTCAGTTGACGGCATGGCCAGAGTTGGAAGGTCACTTGGTCCTGTCATCGACCTTGAGAGCAAGGTTCTGTGTCTGCATTTGCTGGCAGCACTGGATGCAGCACCAACATGGAGGACTCAAGTTTTCCTGTTAGTTTTGGTAAGAGTTTAGTCTAATAAGTCTAGTAGTCTAGTAGTAATTGTGGATTTTACATCAAGTTCATGCACGCAGAAATGTTAACAAAACTCGCCAAAGTGAGAATGCAGTATTGATCTTTGAATCATCTTGGGCAAAAACCTTGGTAAATTGGTAAATACTTTCAGGCGATATATGATTGTGCTCTGTTCAGACAATATGAAAACCAATCAAATGTCTGTGAAACATAACATGATAGAAATGCTCTCTCTTATGCGCCATGTAATGGAAAACTGAGCTGGATTCTGTATACCACTTACAAAATGTCACGAAAAATACAGCCATGTTTTTCAGTGTTATTTTTCTTTGTAAAAGAGCGCATTTCACCAACAGAAGTAGACGAAACGTTTATGTATATCAGGGCAATTTCTGCCCCGGTTTGTGGTGATTCATTAGTGACTTGTAATCCGGTTTTGTTTTTGTCTTTTTCAGCAGAAGGACACTGCTATTGACGCAAAGATAGCAGCCCTAAAGCAGCTGCCTCTTTTGCTGTGTTCTCTTGGCTCATTCTCATTCCACCTGATCTCAGATGTCCTTCCTGGACTTCTCTCCTGTGGTGAAGCAGTTCAGGAGGAAATTGCCAAAGTTATTGGCTCCTTGGCTTGCATACTTACAGAGAATACAGTGATAAGGAAGTTGAAGGAGCAATTGTCTTTTGATGATCCTGTTTGTAGCAGTATCACATTTCTCTGCCCAGACTGTGATCCTAATTTTCAAAACAAAACAGGTAACATTAAATTAATTTTTCAGATTTTTGAAAAAGCACCAAAAATCTATAGAAAAAAGAAAAAGTCTGTTCTCGAGATTGCGGGAAAGAAAACCGACAAAACTTTCATTGCTTCAAAACATAACTTTAGGACGCATTTTGGTATTATTTGAAGCAATGCCATCAAAATAGTGTTCAACTGTTGGCTCATTTACTATTATGATGCAAAAAGTATAATTTGAAATGTTTTTGCGATTTAATCAAGTTCAAAGGTAGAGATATTTTTAGTCTTGTATGTTCTTCTTGCCACACGCCATAAGGCATTGGTGTCAGCTTCTTCATATCAGACCTGGTTCACGCAAAATGGGCGTTTTACCGATTTTCATTTTTGGTTTATTTTTTCCATGCAGATATCGATTGCTATTATACCTAACCCCAATACATTTGCAGTGACTGGTGTAATTTTCTTATTGATCCAATAGACCGTATAAATGGTATTCCCGGTATTGGACTGGAACTAGCTTGCAACCGAGGCTAATGCGGGGAGTCTTTTCAATCGCAAATGACATTAATCTTTTTTTAATGATATTTCACCGCATGAGCCTCCATTGCAAGCTAGTTCCAATCCAATACCGTGAATACGAATATGGTCTATTAAGGGAGGACTGTTAAAAAGCTGATTGAAAATGCTTGGTACATGTATGGTCCAGAAAAAACCAAGACACCTTAACAGTTTCTGGTTTCTCCAACAATTTTCTTTATTAATGTTGCTGTTGTGACTAAAAGAGTATACATATGAACACCATTGAACTGGACAGATATTCACTGTGTTGAATGTTAAAAGCAGGTAAAAATGATGTTTACTTTTCTCTTTAGGTAATAAGGATGAAAGTAAACTCAGTGCGATTGTCAATGCTGCAATATTCACTCAATACCTACAACTTCTATCCCCTGATACAAACGCTGCCATTAAATGCGCCTTCATCAATAGTATGAAGAGAATGTTTACTCACATAGCATTTACAGCTGACTATGCAGCTCATAGTTCCATTGTCAGTGCAACATGTTTTGATCTTATTGAGGACCCAGACTTTGATGTGAGAATGGCTTTCAGGTGAGTGAAAGTTATCGTAATATAATGGACACTAGATTACAGTACCACAGATTCAAAGTTGGTAAAGATTCAAACGCAATTTTAACAGATGCCTTCCCTTTTCTCGGGTGGCTTCTAAGTCTGACTACACTCACGTGAGGCATTCAACGTGAAACGTTTTTTGAGGATGCATCAGTCAGTAATTTGATGCAAATGAATCCTTATAACGTATTCTGCATCCTCACAAGCTACAACCGTGACTATTGGTTCCTAGAATTAGAACCTGTACCTCACCAGGTACGAAAAGGCACTCATAAAACCACCCGTTAGTTGTGGCCAAAAAAACATGTGGAAACGCATCCGTCATCTAACGCAGCAGAACAGAGACAGAATAAATAAGCTTCAACATTCTGCATTCATTTTAGGCAAAAAAATTTTGAAAAAACACTGGGCAACCACAAAGACTGAGCGACTAGAATGACCTAAATATCATGCCAAATGCTCAAATAATCCATAGACATTCTATCACCCTCTACGACCTTCTCCATCTTGCCATCAGAACATGTCCCACTGATTCGTAGTTAGCCCAAAGAAATTGCATTTTTTCAGAATTAGCAGCTCAGTTGCTAATTGCAGAAGCAGCCACTTTGGTTCGCTATCTCCCATATTACTTTCCACCAGAAGCAGTCATTCCTGATGCAAGGCGCTAAGTTGGTTCATTGCCGGTAATTTCCTGAATAGGTCTCCCATGTTTGCCTCTTCCAGATCAACCCATAACCAACTATTGTATCAATCACAGGTGCATGTGGTTGCCATGCCCAGAATTGGTTAGAATTTCCATAAGTGAATAAGTGGTAGACATTAATTTTCCGACCGTTGCAACCATCTCAAGCAGTGTCTGTAATTTGTGTAACTGTTTGTCATTTCCTCTCGAGGAATCTCATTTACGAAGTTACCTGCCATGCCAGGAATTAGCATCAATTTGCATTTTTTGCGTGAAACATGGATGGGAAGAATATGTCAATTCCCATCCATACGCTCTTCAGGTGGGACCCAAGGTCTCCATTGCAGTTTTAGTACGACCGTAAAGACGTCTGTGCACCAGCACGATTGTGCTCTCTAACTTTTTCATCACTGTTGTTCTCATCTGAAGGAACCAAACACTAAAGTTGTGTATGTTTTTGTTTTGTTCAGCAATGTTGTTCCCTACATTGTCAAACCTGGAAGAGCAGATTCAAATGACAACATGCAACACACTGTCATTTCCAAGTTGAAGAAAGTGTTCGTCGAAGCTTCCTCACAAGGCAACTGCAAACTACAGGAAACTGTGGTTTTAACAATTGGACAGCTTGGAAGAATTGCTGAAGGGGAACTGCTGCTTGTGGTGATTGTCAGTTTGTTGGAAAGCCTCACTGCTCACTCTCAGCTTATAAGAGCTGTCGCCTTCAAACAGGTAGAATAGTCTACAACATTAATCCAGTTTCTCTTATGTTATGTTCTACTGGAAACAGACATTTTAGGATGGTAATGGGTTTGCAGGCAACATTGGGCAGGCCTGTGCTCTAGAAGTACCCTGGTGCCACTGGCGACGAACCTTTGCCTTTGGGTGACTGGAAAAACTTACTTTTTTCATATAAGCTTCTTTAAGTGCTGGGCGCCCAGGATCTCATGGTTAGGAACCTTTGGACTCCTAGTAATTTTTCTTAGACCACAACCTTGTTTGGGACAAAACGGTTTCCAAAGATTTGCTCCATCAAGAACCTCTAAATACAGATATTCTTGTTGATTATGCATGACTGAAATGTTGGATTTCATTGTAGTATAGAATAGTTTCCCGACTATTCTAAGTGGAAATAGTCAATTAACATTCAACAATCCCGATTGGTAATTGTAGGCATTGCATTATCAAGCTCAATAGATACATACATGTAACTTGTTGCTCTGTTTTCCTATCCCTGTTATAGGTTCAAGAAGTGGCTAAGTTTCAAGGCAAGCAGCTGAAGGATTTATTTGCTGGGTTTAAGCAGTCCATTTGTAAATTTGTAGTGGATGCAATTGATAAGATTCACAGCCAGAACCCTGCCGCTAAAGTGTCTTTGGATGTCGTCTCAGAAGTGGCTAGTGTGTTTGAATTCAGAGATGTGCACTCCTTTTTGAAGGTACACAACTGTACAATGTACAATGTAGGTGTTCTTCTAGATCCTTCAGGGAGCGTCTGAAGTAAAATTGTTGAATTGTTTTTTATACGTTCTTTGGTTGGAACTATCACGTGTGAATTATAAAACAATGGGCATAATACATAGAACTCTTTTTTTTTATCTCTCTGTTGAATGAAATTTAATATCCCAGTCTTTAATACAACATGGCTGATCCATCCCGATGGTTGGTCTTTCCTACATCTGTTACCATTTGAGGAGTTTCACAATGACGACAAGAGTTATTGGTTAAGCTAGGTACATGCGTATCTAATAATAGTACATGGGTATGTACCTTTTGCAGAGTACATTGCGTTTTGTCATCCCTTACCTTGTCAAGAAAGCATCACCTTCCTCATCAGCCATCTTACGGCATATTGCAAAAGAGTTGAAGATGAACAGGCGGGAGATGTTACTGGAGAACTTCAAGTTCATCTTTTCTTTCCTTGTGAGATCATGTTCACCATCCGAGCTGGAGAAGGCTCTTGGTTATGTTCAGGTAACGGTCATTCCAGTGCCCTTTTTCCTTGAAAGGGAGGGGGGAGGTTGTAAACAGGATAGAGAATTTGGGAGAGGGGCCGGGAGGTATTGGAAGGCTTGGAATAGTTAAAAATGTATTTCGGCTCAAGTGGTTGGAAGAACAAGATAGCTAATTGGTGCTGGTGTTTAACGCCACTGTCTGTAGCTGACGGGGCTAGGAGTATTACTGGTCTTCTTGGATGGGTCGCAGTTACTGTAACAAAGTATGTCAAGTTGGCCCATTTATAATTCCTGCATGGGCAGTGAAATGAAATTGTTAGAGTGGAGTGTTGTGCCGCAGAACACACCACCATAACTCCTCCTAAAACAGACTCCAATTCGCTAACTTTTATGCCACCCTGCCTACCATACTAAGGAGATAAATGTCATCTCTTTTTCCCATCTACTGGAATCTTCTACACCCTTCAGTGTTAGTGTTACAAACCCCTTGCTTATGTAATTGTGCCTTTTATATTTCAGAAAGAGACAGACGTAGAGCTTGGCAGTCTTTTAAGATCCGAGGCGCAGAGTGTTTACAATCAGCTGTTGTTGTATTTGAGTGTCAGTTACAACAAAGTGTTCAGCGGACTGGCAATGTTGGCTTCAAAAGATGACACATACACTGGGCCAAAGGATCTACAAACCATGCAGCATCTGGTGAGGCAATCTCACGGATGTTGAATAATTCATAGGGGAATAGGACATCCATTATTGCCTTCCATTTCTGACGGTCTTGAGCCACTCTTTTGACCTCCCACCAACTCATGTTGGCCTCCATTACGTCTTTATGGATGCTTCTGCGCCACTTAATTCTAGGTCTACCACGAGTGCCTTACAGGTTCATCTCGTGGTGCGCTATATTCCTCTCACCATGCCTAAGTGTATGACCAATCCATTTCCAGCGTCTCCTCTTAATGGTGGTGTTGAATAATTACAGTTGAAATAGACCTGTCAGATTAGAAAAACAAAGATTTTTGGCAACATTAGTATTTGGATTGGCCGTTTGCCTTTAAGCAAGTTAGAACCGTCTCAAGCAACTACTGAAACTTGTATGAAGTCACGGTATCATTGACATAAGTGCTCATTTTATCACTCCAACGCATTAAATTGGCATGGGTGGAGAAATGAGAAGATAGTTTAACGTTATGGGTTTAAAGTATTTCGGTAGACAGAAATTACATAGTGTATCTGCTATCAGTGAAACGTGTCCAGTCTGGGATTCTCAGTTTTCTGATCTCAGTCCAGTTCATCAACTGCTAGACTAGCAAGTCGTCTTGTGCACTTTGTTCATCAAGGGAAGTTCTCAAAAGGCTAATCTCAAAAGGCTAGTGGTCTATAACTGCTAGCCCTTAACTTCAGTTTCTGTAGCGTGGATAAACTAGGAAAGTTGGTAATTTCCTTGGTTGGGGGTTGAAGTCCATGATAGGTGCCACCCCTCCCACCCCAAAGTAGTCTGGGAAGTTACTCTAAGGGTTTGCCACGAACACTGTAAAATACTGTTTTTGTATCTGCAGGCAAATTTTCTGCAATCCAGGCTACTTGGCATCCTTGCTTTCTACAACACTGTTCTCCTCACGAACACTGATTTGGAAGAAAAGAGATTAGCTCTAGAGAGCCTTACCAAGCTCATGCAAGTGATGGGGCGCAAGTTCATAACCACCGTACGAGTCAAAGTCATGGGAATCCTGCGACTGTGTTTGAGATTCCAGGACAAGGGGTTCCCAGAGCTGTCATGTGATGCATGGGAAAGTTTTGTGCGAAATGTCGAACTGTCCAGTCTTGGTCCAATGCTGAGTCAGATTGTGGTTACCCTTTTGCCATACCTGAACAAACTTCCAGCCAGAGTCACACAGATTTTCCACTTTCTGATTGTGGAGAATAAATCATCTCTGCAAGACTACTTCCATGAAATCTACTTTCTTCCTGACATCCCAGAACTTCGCAGAGTCAGTGCTGTTCTCAGATCTTGCAGTGGGAAAGCTTCTAAGAAGATGGACTTACAAGCTCAGCTGCGGCAATCTCTGAAGGGCATTTCTCATGAAAGTGCCGATGTGCAAAGACACGCTTTATCAAAGCTCAAACAGTTACTTCATGATAACCAGGTACATGTACTTCTAACAAGTTGAAAGTTGCGATGTTTTCGTATTGTTAGATAAAGTGTCTTGGCGGATGGCCATCAGTGTTCCTGTGCATGCAGGTATTCCAGTTAGTAGCTGTGGTACATGTATTGTGACAACCAGTTTTCTCTTACTCCTTCTCTTGTTCCTTCCATAATTCTCTTTTTGACTCTGTAAATTACAGCTTGCCGTAGATTCCAGTCATCATGTACAATGTACAGTTATTTATTTCTCATTCCGTTTGAAAGTCAGCAATAAATAGAAGGAAAGAGAAATCTGTTTGCCTAATGACTGTGTTAAACGCATGTCTTCAATGATTACGGCAATGTCACGTTTCTATATGTGTTGTGAGGTCATCTTAGGCTATCCTTTACTTATCAAGTATTCGTTGTCAACTGATTGTTATACTACGAAGTGAAGACAGGCAGCGAGGTTAAAGTTTCTCGCCTAAGAACACAGCGCAGTTATTTTGGTTAGTGCGTCAACCTAGACCCATTTNACCAAAGCAGAAAGCCATATAATAAACAACTTATTAACCTTGAACGGTGGGTCTTTACAGGAAAATCTCAAACCTCGGCCTTGCCGTATTGACCTCGCTGTCGCCCGATCAATACAGCAAGGTCTCAGTTTGAGATTTTCCCCGTAAAGACCTCACTCTCGGTTAATAAGCAGTTAATTGTCTGCAGCTCATGTCCAGCTGTCGTGTGACTGACTCTGAAGCCAAAATACTTGTGGCAGAATGTCTTGGTGAGCTTGGTGCAGTGGATCCTGGCAGGTCAGCTTGGCATTTATCTACTTTTTTGCTTGTTCGTTGAATCTCCAGTTCAATGGAGAATTATCGTAATAAAATTTTAATCGTTCATTTATAGACTGGATAAGCTGACAAATAAACCTGTGGATGAGCAGACAGTATTTGAGGTAACAAATTTACAGTACGATTAAAATATCTTCTCTATTACGGTCTTGTGGTGGTGGATCAAATAGACTTTCTTTTATTCCTTCAAACTGGCTTACTCGGGGATGCAAGAAGAAATAGAGTTCCTAAAAGGAAGACACGTATTGTTTGTTTAATAGTTCTATCTTTATTCCGAAAAGCCCTTTTGGGACGAATAAAGTATTTATGTATGTATGAATGTTGCATGTGATTGTCTGTATAACATGCTGTCTCCATCTCCCTTTTGTAGCTACTGTACATCTCAGAGATATGCGAACCAGCAAACGCGTTTTAAACTCATTGACAAAAAGAAGTCAACGCGTTGGTGCATTTTGACCAACGCATCTGGAAAGTCATACTGTAGAAAATGAAGCCGTGCTAGTTTGTCTTCAAATTACAATCAACTGCCTTTTCAATACACCAGGCTTACTCCAGTGGCGCAGAGCAACGAGCATAACAAATTAACTAACGACCTGCTGGAAGTTTGATAACTGAATGACTTGTGGACCTACGCTGCGTATAATAACGGAGAAACTAAACTGTGTGATGTGGATTGTACTTTATAGATGTTAGCTGTATTTTAAAAATTCGTAGTACTTCTGTGTGCACAAACGATGTTTTTTTCCCATTATTTATGAGATGTTTGTTTTTTTGATGCGTTGTTTTGTTTTCAGAGTGGTTGTGATGATATGCAGTTTGCTGTTGAGCTCATTAATCAATTAGTTCAAGCATTCCTTGCTGCTCATGATACAAGAGCCCAGGTAATTAACACTGCCTGCTTCAAAATAACATTCACATGCCGTGTGTGCCATCTAACTAGGTGAAGCTCATATATCTTTGGGTGTAGCCAATATTGTGCTCAATCTGTGTAATACAGGTCGGATCTTTAATGCCTTCTGATGACTTAGGACTTACAACAGTGACAGTGTTTGACATGTTAAGTTGATGCTTTCCAGGGCATAAAAAAAATTGATTTCGTCCTCCAGGGTAGGTGTTTAATAATATTCACATTCTGCATGCATTGTGGGGGGGCATTTGGAAGTATCTTTAAATTCAGAAGTATTCTTTTAAATAGTATGGTGATGAATTGGGGCTAGAAAATGTAGAAAATGTAATGTACTGCTGCTGATCCTTCGTAGAAGCCTCAACTAAAATGTGTATCGTGCAACATGCAATAAGAACTTCAAATGAATGAAATGATCTTCACAGTGTGTTTAAAATTTGATTGCTTAAATTGCTTATACATTGCAGAGATCACGATCATTTTCGACCATTCTGTGTTTCTCCAATAGTTCCCAATACGATGTATTTCTTATCCGTTGTTGGTGATTTTTGAAGGAATGTGCGTTAAAGCAGGAATGTTTGGTTAGCTCTTTGTGATGTTGTACTACATTTCGTTTGCAGGATTGTTCTGCATATGCTATCCAGGAAGTCCTGCTAACTTATGAATGCAGCGAATCTAAGAAGGATGGGTTAGTAATCATGTTTCAAATCTTGTTCTTAGTACACGTACATGTTGTGCTACAAAATGGCATGTCAACACGATGCCAAAGAACACAGGTTTAATGAAACAATTGAGTGTTTAAAGTAAAACTATGAAAACCAAACTTAAAGGCATAATTCATGCATTGACATTATGAAGTAGGGTAAACACCTACATTGTATATGTCACTTTCACACTTATTCTTTGTGTAAAGTTTTTAAGGGACCTATTCATTATAATTGTTTATGCAACTGCCTCGCTTGCATAGGACTGGCTATAATCTGTGGCAGACATTTCCAGAGCATATCCAAGAAGTTCTCAGACCACACTTGTATTCTAAGTAAGTGAAGTTTTGAGATTTTTTATTCATTGTGTTTAACAATATATTGAACTTCAAAAGTCAGTTTAGAAATGCGTATTAACATTGCGTATTGGATTAATGGTAGAACGCCTAAGTATCAGTCGAATAACAGCAGAGAAGCAAAGATGGCTTGTTAATACAATGGCTCAGTTTGTTACTTCTTACATGAATTCACTCGAAAAACCAATAGATCTATTCTTACAAATGTTCTTATTTCCGATGTTCAGATACCTTAGTTCTACCACTCCCAACTGGTCTCGCCTTCCCAAGCCTATTTACAGGAGTTCAAAGGGCAGAGTCTTCAATGAATGGGTCAGCACGTGGACATCGTATATGATCACCAAGGTGAAGTAGACATACATGTTTCATCCGACTCNGTAATTATCCAGTAAGTGATGTAGGTAATTGTCCCATAAGTAATGTAAGTAGTTGAACTGTAAGTTGTTTCTTTTCCCTGTGTTTTGCAATAAAAAATAAATAAATAAATAAATAAATAAATAAATAAATTCATCTGAACACCAACCTTATATGACGCCTTGCTTATTATTATGTATTATATTTCTTTTCTGTTAGGTTAAGAGCCAGAAACCATCTCACATGTTTCAAGCTTGCAGTAAAATTTTTAAGGTAAATTTGTACTTGCAAGGAATTGTGTGGTAAGCTTCTTAGTTCATACTTGTAGACAAAGGGAAGCAACTAGAGTTGTCTACTATGTATGAAGCAAACCTCTCATTTTGCATTCAGTTTCAACTATCACAACGGGGAAATGCCAGATTCGGGCAAAAAATATCCTATTTTCGTATAGACGCCCTGTAGTGTCTCGGATTGGTTTGGATGTACCCAGGAGTGTCTTTTTCATAAGCATTGAAATCATACCTGACATTATAACTGATCAGGATCAATGATCCAGGATGACAGGGAGTCGCCAGATCGAGTAGGAGCTACTAGGCTAGAATTCAGTAATTACTTTGATGCACCATAATCCGAATGATCTTGGATCATTGATCCTGATCCTGATCCTGATCCGGATAATCCCTTAGGAACACACCTCTCTCTCTCGTGGAGGATTGATTGCAATGATGCAACTGGAGATGTCTATTATGTTTGATCACTTATTCTTTGAACACGGTATATTTTTCAGCATGATGTTAAGACTGCCTTATTCCTGCTCCCTCATGTACTTCTTTATGTGCTGCTTGATGGAACACAAGAAGATGTCGAGGAGGTAAGAAGCTAGATTAACACTCGCTTGCGTTAGTCTGGGCTAGGTCCAGGTTCAAGCCCTGGCCGATGACATTGTGTTGTGTTCTTGTGCCTCTCTCCACCCAGATGTACAAATGGCTACCGGCGAATTTAATGCTGGCGGTACGGTAGACCTGCAATGGACTAGCATCTCATCCAGGGGGGAGTAGAAATGTCCCTAATTGCTTCATGCTACAGAAACCGGAATAAGCTCCGGCCTGATGGCCTCTTGGCTTGTGTGCAGACTTTACTTAGCTACCTTGTGTTAGTAGTTGCTACAGGTGATTTTTTGACGCAAGGTAATGATTTGGTGCTACTTGGAGTAAAACGTTTATAAATATCACGTCTTTTAATCAGGTGTATGTAGAGATCATGGCAGTTCTGACTCATCTGCAAAGAAATGAAGAACTTCCAGCACCATCTTCTGGTAGGTCTTTGTTGGTAAAGTTATACTAAAAAAATAAAAGGAGAACATGTCTGCTCTGTTTCTGTATTCACTGGATTTGAAACACAGTTCAAGAGCAAACGTTTGGTCAAACTTATGACGCTAATCGATCGGGAACTGACATCTTCTTGCAATTAACACGATAAATTGACTGATTTGCATCCAGGAATTTGCGCGAAAACATCAGCCGTTTTTTAAGTTGCAAAATTGTTTCAGCTCAAGAGGATTTAACGATATTAAAAGATTTGATCGTGGACTTTTAAATACAAACGTATGTGCATATTTAGGTAATGCCACATCATTGAATACAAACCGGACTTGCCTGCAGCCTTTGCCCTTGAGGTTTCTCCAAGAGAGAGAATGATAACTGCGTTACAAAGTGAAGAGCTACTTGAGCGATGTGCACCGTAGGCCTTTGTTTCTGCTAAAGTATACTCATCATAGTGGCATATATTTTCTGTATAGATTTCCGCCAAATGAGTGCTCAGACAGTATTTTCAGCTCTGGACTATTTGAACCGTTGGACAAGAGCTAGGGCTCACAGTTTAGCTGTGAAAACGCAGTTGCTATCTGCCAAGAATCGTTTTGGTGCTTCTTCCACAGGTACTACAACTTTAGTTGTTGCACAGATTGTTTATTGAAAATAATGATTTTCTATTGTTTGGTATGACCCTGATTGGCTTAGTGTATATCGTTTAGCGATTCTGCTCAATTGTGCAAAAAGTCAAGTCTAACTTTAATAGACATCAAAGAAAAGAATAATTTACCGAAGCCACGCACCTCTTCAGAACCTGTAATTTCTTTCGCTCCCTGTTTCACCCACCTCTATTGTTTTAATTACTAAGTTCATTGTTTCTGCTGTTTGCTCTTTTATTGTTTTCTCAGCCAATCTGCCAAACTTTCTGAGAGTTGCATGGCATGACTGTGGCCTCAGTTTATGTCAATTCGTCTGGGATCCTTTCCCCCTCAAACTTAGCCTAATCACTAAATCTTGCAGACCAGTAGTAATGAACATCTCATATAAGCCAATAGGTACTGCCTCTTTTGATCTTGTTCAACTGTCCCGCTGCATTTTACGTACTCCTTTATTGGTAGTTTCTTAAAATGTTCTGTCGTCAACATCGGTTATGCAATGATCGATGTGAGTCACGCAGTGACATAGATCATGGCGTGCGTCACACAGTGACGTGAGTCATGCATTGGCATTGGTCACGCAGTGATGAGGGTCGTGCAATGTCAAGGGCCTCAAAATAAAATAGATGATGCAATGACTCTGGCTAGGTATTATCTTCAGTCACATAGTAACACAGGAGACAAAAATGACATTGGACATAACAACTTGAGATAAGATGACTTTGTAACATGTCTCTTGTTTTACGGTGTTAAAGGAATCCATGATCACAAAGGAGTGGAAAGTTTTCTGGAAAAAATTCCCCAGGTAATCCTGACCAAGTTATATTAGATCTTTGTTGTTGGAAATTTTTGTAACTTTACAGCCAAGTTAATTGCGAGAAATATTTGTGACACACTTACTGTTACGTACGAAACTTTGATGTTATTGTTCTTCGTGCAAACCCTGTAGGCGAGTTACATGTGATGCTGAATAGATGATACATTTTCTGAGTTTAAATAACGTAGTTTAATTTTACCTCAGGCTGTTTGAAAAAACAAAATTCTCAAACTCATTAAGAACTCATCAACTTTAAACAAAGGAGAACATGACCGTGATAGTGTTTTGATATCTGATCATAATTAGCATAGATTTTTACGATTTTATTTCTCCGTTTTCTCCTTAGTTTTGGTTTCGATTGATATAGGGCTAAGAAATGAACAACCACTGTCCAACAAAGTTACTTATTAATATAATAAATTATATTTGGTCACATTTCCTTGCTATTCTAGGACGTCCTGGCCCATGCTTCGTTTCACTGCAAGGCCTATGCTCGTGCATTGATGCACTTTGAGGCTTTCATCTCAAGCCAGAGGCAGGATCTTCAGCAGCATCTAGGATTTGTTCAGAAGCTGTACATAGCTCTGGATGAACCTGATGGTGTGGCTGGGGTGGCAGCAAACAGGAAACAGGAACCAACCCTCCATGAACAGATCCTTGATCACAAAAGCTCAGGTTGAGTATGATTCCTTTTTGTGTGAAGCTGACATGTGTGTTCTTCTGTATTGATTTCCATGCTTCTTAGTTAATGTCACTGCTGATAGCTGTCATCACTACAATATCATTTTAGCTTTTTACACGTAAAAAAGATCAGCGAAACCAAAAACCTACAGATTAGATATATTTAAGTCAAATTATCAATAATTAAAGTATATTTAGTCTACTTGTTGTATGGTTTTGTCTTTTTGAGAGTAATAAGTGAGAATTGAGGGGAAATTACAAAGACATAAGATTTTGACCAACTTTGAGAATTGTCATGGTGGCACATAACACATTAAAGAAACCCGATACCTTTCTAGATCAGCAACAGTTTCTCGTTTCTTTTTTACACAGGAAAACTCTGTGATGCTTCAGCTCGCTATGAGAGAGCAATACAAGAAGAACCAGGAGAGATTGGACACCATAAGGTGGCATTTTATTTAATGTTACATGATGGATTGTTTTTGTGTAATAATGTTGTCTTTCGGGACATCAATCTCTTTGTGGTCAATTGTGAACAAACTTGTCCACAAGTTTGGTATGTTATTCAAGTTGGAAAGCGTTATCTAACACTGGCACTTTGGTGATTGCCTTTAACACTTTCTTTCGCTTAGGGGCTGCTACAGTGTCTGATTGATCTTGGTCAAGTCACCACCGCTCTTATCCATGTGGATGGGGTGGTCACTCGAAGGTCTGTTGAGATATTAATCAATTTAAGTAAAGTGCTGTTGTGAGGTTCACTGCTTATGTACTTAATATGCCTATGTTACTGTATAGCAATGGTAAAATACACAGTTGCACAAGAAAAGGGATAGGTTTCTTGGGCTTTTATGGGCTAATGTCAAGCCAGCTTCCATACTAGTTTTCTAATTCGTAGCGTTACGCTTAGTACAAAATTGTGAACCATACTTAACAATACTCTACGTACTTACGTGAGACGATTAGTTTTGATGACTACTTGAAGGTTTGGTATTTATACATTTTAGATCAGAGTGGGAGAAATCCTTGAATACGTACCGTGTTGAGGCGTCCTGGAGACTGGGGCAGTGGGACTCTCTTGAAAGTTATCTCAAACTGGTATGACCTGTTTTAGGCTAACCAAGCCAAATCTGGCCTAGAGCTGTCATAGTACACTGGTTTTTTTTTAATGAGGCAAAGGCTGTTACAAGGACGCCAGCACCTAATTCCAGTTTCTTCAAGCACATAGCAGAGCATGCTAGTCCCTAATCACAGGTTTCACGCTAGCCCTTTGTCGAGTCACCATGACAATTTACCTGCGCCCGTCTCTATACGTAGGAGACATTGAGAACAAAGAGTCCTCGAGAATGCATCTTGAAGGGACTAGCCTTGGACATCATAATCCAGATTTTGATGTCCTGTTATTAAAGTAGTATAGTAAGACACAATACAGCAAAAACCCGCGTGTACGAACCTACTTTATTATATGGCTAGCTCTGTGAG